GTTGCTGGTTTGCACTAGGATGACATTCTGTTGTTGGTTTGCACAAGGATGACATTCTGTTGCTGGTTTGCACTAGGCTGACATATTCTGTTGCTGGTTTGCACTAGGCTGGCATATTCTGTTGCTGGTTTGCACTAGGCTGGCATATTATGTTGCTGGTTTGCACTAGGCTGGCATTCTGTTGCTGGTTTGCACTAGGATGACATATTCTGTTGCTGGTTTGCACTAGGATGACATATTCTGTTGCTGGTTTGCACAAGGATGACATATTCTGTTGCTGGTTTGCACTAGGATGACATTCTGTTGCTGGTTTGCACTAGGCTGACATTCTGTTGCTCGTTTTTACTAGGATGACATATTTTGTTGCTCGTTTTTACTAGGATGACATATTTTGTTGCTGGTTTGCACTAGGCTGACATTCTGTTGCTGGTTTGCACTCGGCTGACATATTCTGTTGCTGGTTTGCACTCGGCTGACATATTCTGTTGCTGGTTTGCACTCGGCTGACATATTCTGTTGCTGGTTTGCACTAGGATGACATATTCTGTTGCTGGTTTGCACTAGGATGACATTCTGTTGCTGGTTTGCACTAGGATGACATATTCTGTTGCTGGTTTGCACTAGGATGACATATTCTGTTGCTGGTTTGCACTAGGATGACATAGCCTAGTGAAAACCAGCAACAGAATAACATATTCTGTTGCTGGTTTGCACTAGGCTGGCATTCTGTTGCTGGTTTGCACTAGGCTGACATATTCTGTTGCTGGTTTGCACTAGGATGACATATTCTGTTGCTGGTTTGCACTAGGATGACATATTCTGTTGCTGGTTTGCACTAGGATGACATATTCTGTTGCTGGTTTGCACTAGGATGACATAGCCTAGTGAAAACCAGCAACAGAATAACATATTCTGTTGCTGGTTTGCACTAGGCTGGCATTCTGTTGCTGGTTTGTACTAGCTGACATATTCTGTTGCTGGTTTGCACTAGGATGACATATTCTGTTGCTGGTTTGCACTCGACTGACATATTCTGTTGCTGGTTTGCACTAGATGACATATTCTGTTGCTGGTTTGCATTAGCTGACATATTCTGTTGCTGGTTTGCATTAGCTGACATATTCTGTTGCTGGTTTGCACTCGGCTGACATATTCTGTTGCTGGTTTGCACTCGGCTGACATATTCTGTTGCTGGTTTGCACTAGATGACATATTCTGTTGCTGGTTTGCACTAGATGACATATTCTGTTGCTGGTTT